TCTGACTCCACTCCTACAGCATTTACAGCCACTAATCGTGGTCGCACCCATGGAAGTCACCCTGCTTCCTTTACCAACCAGCGAGGTCGTTCTTATTCTCACAAAAACAACTCTTCTAATCGAGGACGAACCCACTCAAGTTAGGGTCGTCGATCACCTCATTGCCAAATATGCCGCAAAGAGGGTCATTATGCTGACCGCTGCAACCAACGGTATGTTCGACCTGATTCTTCTCATGCTCACCTTGCTGAAGCCTTTAACACGTCATGTTCTATCAGTCTAAAAATTACACGGGTAAGGACTTTGTGATCGTAGGAAACGGTGCATCCCTACCCATTACCCACACCGGTACTCTTTCTCCTGTTCCAAATATTCACTTATTAGATGTCTTGGTTGTCCCTCACCTCACTAAAAATCTTCTTTCCATAAGTAAATTAACGTCTGATTTTTCTCTCTCCGTTACATTTACTAATAATTTTATTACTATCCAGAATCATCAAACAGGAAGGGTGGTGGCAACCGGTAAAAGAGATGGAGGGCTATATGTGCTGGAGCGCGGCAACTCTGCTTTTATTTCAGCCCTTAAAAACAAATCTTTACGTGCTTCATATGATTTATGGCATGCTCGTCTGGGTCATGTGAATCATTCTGTTATTTCTTTTTTAAATAAAAAATGTCATCTTTCTCTTACGTCTTTATTGTCTTCTCCATCATTATGTAATACTTGTCAGCTTGCGAAAAGTCATCGATTGCCTTATTCCCGCAATGAACGTAGGTCGTCTCATGTGTTAGATCTTATTCATTGTGATCTTTGGGGTCCTTCTCCCGTCAAATCAAATTCGGGTTTTCTTTATTATGCTATTTTTATTGATGATTATTCTCGATTCACTTGGTTTTACCCTTTAAAATTTAAATCTGATTTTTTTTTTATATTTTTCTTCAATTTCAAAAATTTGTGGAAAATCAATATTCTTCTCGTATCAAGGTATTTCAAAGCGATGGTGGTACCGAATTTACTAGTACTTTTTTCAAAACTCATTTACGTAATTCTGGCATCCACCATCAACTCTCTTGTTCATATACACCTGCTCAAAATGGTCGTGTTGAGAGAAAACATCGTCATGTGACTGAGACTGGCTTGGCCCTTCTCGTTCACTCTCATCTTTCTCCTCGTTTTTGGGTTGACGCCTTCAGCACTGCAGCTTATATTATCAACCAGTTGCCTACTCCACTTCTTGGAGGTAAGTCACCCTTTGAACTCCTTTATGGCTACACTCCACATTATGACAATTTTCATCCCTTTGGTTGTCGTGTTTATCCTTATTTGCGTGATTATATGCCTAACAAGCTTTCTCCCCGCAACATTCTTTGTATTTTTTTGGGTTATAGTCCTGTTCATAAAGGGTTCCGCTGTCTTGATCCCGCCACCACTAAGCTATATATCACCTGTCATGCTCAATTTGATGAAACTCACTTTCCTGCTATCCCTAGCTCCCAAGCCCAACCTCTTTCCACTATTCCTATTTCAAATTTCTTGGAACCACATCTTCATCATATTGATTCATCCCCCCCTACCACTTCATCACCGCACATTCCTCAATCCAGTTCATCCCCGTGTGATATTTGTTCTGACCTTGTAGATGAGTCTGTGCAGGTTGATACTTCTCTTGCAGGTTCCACTTTGCCACCCTCGACTTCTAATTCGACCTCTATTGAATCTCCCGTTGATTTCTCTTCTTTGGGCACTCATCCGATCACACGCGCCAAAGCTGGTATATTCAAGACTCGTCATCCAGCAAATCTTGGTATGTTGGGCTCATCTGGACTTCTCTCTGCTCTTCTTGCATCCACTGAGCCAAAAGGATTCAAATCTGCGGCTAAGAATCCTGCTTGGGTGGCTGTCATGGATGAGGAAATTCGAGCGTTACAACAAAATGATACTTGGACTTTGGTTCCTCGCCCTGCCAACACCAACATCGTGGGCTCTAAATGGGTGTTTCGTATTAAATATTTGCCCGATGGATCCGTCGAGCGTTTCAAGGCTCGTCTCGTTGCCAAAGGTTATACTCAGGTTCCTGGTCTTGACTACACTGACACTTTCAGTCCGGTTGTCAAAGCTACCACTGTCCGTGTTGTGCTTTCTATTGCAGTCACAAATAAATGGCCTCTTCGACAACTTGATGTCAAGAATGTTTTTCTTAATGGAACGCTTATTGAACGTGTTCATATGGAACAACCTCCTGGGTATGTTGATCCTCGATTTCCTATGCATGTTTGTCTATTAAAGAAAGCTCTCTATGGCTTAAAGCAAGCTCCTCGTGCTTGGTTTCAGCGTTTTAGCTCATTTCTTCTCACACTTGGGTTTTCTTGCAGTCACGCTGACACGTCCCTTTTTGTCTTTCATCAGCAATCTAACCTTATCTATTTGCTTCTTTATGTTGATGACATTGTTGTTACCGGCAACAACTCATCTCTTATTAACAGCTTTACTCGCAAGCTTCATTCTAAGTTTGCTACCAAAGATTTGGGTTCTCTCAGTTACTTTCTTGGTCTTGAAGCTTCACCCACTCCTGATGGTCTCTTTATCAGTCAATTAAAATATGCTCGAGATATTCTTACTCGTGTTCAGTTGCTCGATAGCAAACCAGTTCACACTCCCATGGTTGTTACTCAACACCTGACTGCTGATGGTTCTCCTTTCTCTGATCCTACTCTCTACAGATCTCTTGTTGGCGCCCTTCAGTACTTGACTATTACGCGTTCAGATATTGCCTATGCTGTCAATTCTGTCAGTCAATTCTTGCATGCCCCTACTGCAGATCACTTTCTTGCTGTCAAACGTATTCTTCGCTATGTCAAAGGAACACTCCACTTTGGTCTTACCTTTCGTCGATCCACTGTTCCTAGTACGCTAGTCGCTTATTCGGATGCTGACTGGGCTGGTTGTCCCGATACTCGTCGTTCTACATCCGACTATTCTATTTATCTTGGTAACAATCTCATTTCTTGGAGTGCCAAAAAGCAACCTACTGTATCACGCTCCAGCTGTGAATCTGAGTATCGTGCTCTTGCCACAACTGCTGCTGAACTTCTTTGGGTTACGCATCTTTTGCATGACCTCAAGGTCCCTATTTCACAGCAGCCCTTACTCTTATGTGACAACAAAAGTGCTATTTTTTTGAGCTCTAATCCTGTTTCTCACAAGCGGGCCAAACATGTTGAACTAGATTATCATTTCCTTCGAGAACTTGTTACCGCTGGCAAACTTCGCACACAATATGTACCCTCTCATCTCCAAGTTGCTGACATCTTCACAAAGAGTATTTCACAAATCCGACGCTCAGATTGCGGGGGGGTGTTAAGGATAGTTGACCGTTCATTATAAGGCAAATATCTAGATATTTGCCTTACATTACGGGTTACCATATTTGCCCTTTTATTAAATGCAAATATATTGTATTCATCGCTATTTTCTTATATTTGTAATTTACCTTATTTCTGTATTCTATAAATGATTATAAATAAGAGAACTCTCACCACCATTTGGGTGTGGTGGATTAATCAAACATTCACAATAACCAATTTTTTAACAATTTAGTATTTATATTTTAAAATTTATAACAATTAAGTCCTTATCATGAAAATTATGGTGGAAGTAAAATGAAATCTCATACACATGTAGATCGATAAAAGAGTAAAGAGTGATTGTAAACTGAGTAAAGAGTAGATTCATAATAATTTAACCATAATAATTTAACTCTTCACTAACAGAGTAAAGAGTAGATTTACCATTTCTATTCTTTTCCTAAAAGATACTCTTTTAGATTTACCATCTCTATTATTTCCAAAAAGAGTAGAGAATAGATTCATAATTTCTTCTAAACGAGTAGATTCACCATTTGATTCACAATTTCTACTCTTTCCCGAGTAGATTCACAATTTCTATTCTTTTCTAGGTGAGTAGATTCACCATTTCTCTCTAAAAGAGTAGATTCACACTTTGATCCCTCCCAAATAATAGAAGTTAGGTAGGGTGTTCTAAAAATATGGAGAAGAGATGAGTTTAAGCCGTGAAGAGGGGCAGAAATAGGAATTCATATGTATCACTTACAATTCAACCTAAAGGTAGACCACTAAAAATAATTTTTTTTAAAAAAAGTTTATGGTTAAAAAAGGCATATATATATATATATAATATTAAAACATTTCAAATTCATTTTTATGATTTTTTTATATATTTTTAAATGTAATAATATAATAATAAAAAATATTAATAAAAATCATGCAGTAATAGTTTATTTTTATAATTCAAATAATTTTATTTCTATTTAAAAGTAATTGAAAACTTCAACTTTGTTATTCATCCAAACTCATAAGTGTCATATTTTGATTAGTCTATGATATCAATTTTACTGTCACATCATCATCATCAAAGGTATCTTATTTTGACTGAAACTTATTTGCTTTAGCTCTAATTTGACTCGTTGAAAAAGACTTTGAAATCATTATTCACAACCTTCCACTTTGGACAATTCAAAATACTTATAATTGTTAATAATTAAGTGTAGGTTTGTTATCATCAAAACGTCAATTAATTAAATAAAATTAATTAATTTGAAATTAAGGGCCAAAAACACAATAGTATAGGCATAATACTAGTCTTAGCTTTCATCATGCATTATCATTAATATAATATAAATCTACACCATAGCTTCACATGACATGACATGGCATGACATAATAGGACATCGCATAATATGCATAACATAACATCATAGGACTATAGACCACGACGATGCTAATTATGGCTAGGGACGCAAAGTTACCATGCGCCAGCAAAGTTCACGAAAAAGGTTTTCATGTGGGAGTTATGTCCTCTCTCAAGGGCGTTGCACTACTAAGCATGGAAAAGAGTTTGGTGATTAAGAGAACGTGTGAATTAGATACCTTGCGTGATCTTCACTACTCGTCAGAAATCTCACGTTTTGAACGATACCTGATTCAATGCATCCAAGGCATATCAATTATAAAAAAGACCTAAACTACCTTCCATAACAATCCATTCTTATCTTATTTCTTTCTCTTTTTTTTTTTTTTTGCAAAAACATTAATCTCCTCTGGACATTCAATTTAAATTACTCTCTTTGTTTCTTACTTTAAAAAAGCAACAATCCTTCCATAAATGGTGAGCTTGATTTACTACTTTTTAAGTTTATAAATTGAAGCAGGAAGTAAGCTTAGTATTTCAATATACCTTGATCTTAATCTCATTGGCTTTTTGTGTGCAGCTACCTAAATATGGATAAGCTTCCTGCCGTAGGCCTTTTGACTCCTCTGGACCTCAACACAGTTGAGGCTGTTCCTGAATCTCACGTATGGCCTCACCTCGATGAATCATCGCAGAAGTTCGAATCGGACAAAACGGTCTCGATCCCGGTTGTCGATTTTAACGACGACAATGTGTTGGAGCTCATAGGGAAAGCCTGCGAGGAGTGGGGAATGTTTCAGTTGATTAATCATGGTATCCCGAAAACCCTAACAGCCGAAACCGAGGAGGTGGCTCGATGTCTTTTCGGTCTTCCACAAAGCCAGAAGATGAAGACATTAAATGTTCCCGGAACCGCCAACGGCTACTGCATGGCCAGATTAACGAAGCATCATGACAAAATGATGTGGCATGAAGGATTCACCATCATAGGTTCTCCGGTTGATGATTTTAAAAAACTCTGGCCATCGGACTACCAACCGTTCTGGTAAATCCATGCAACTTTTTTCATGCATGTACACAATTAGGGTTTAGGGTTTATGTTTAAGTGATTATTACTCTAAATCTTGGCTGATTGGATTCTTACTTTCTTTTCATTTTTTTTTTAATCAAGTGATAAAGTGGAAGAATACCAACTTAAAATGAAGGCTTTAGCTGATAAGCTAATAAGCTTAATCTTCAAGTATCTTGGCATCTCCGATGAAGAGATGGTGAAGAAGTTGTCTTACATCGACCCGGCCACCGGAAAACCCCACTTGGCTTTGCGCTTGAACTCGTTTCCTCCATGCCCTGAACCAAGCAAAGTCATGGGCCTCGCGGCCCACACTGACACCTCCCTCTTCACCATGCTTCACCAGGCACGCAGAGAGGGGCTACAGATCTTAAACGAGAAAGAAGGCTGGCTTCCGCTGGCTCCGAGGAGAGACGCTCTCATCATTAACATCGGCGACTTCCTCCAAATTATATCGAACGGGCGGTTTCATAGCGTTCCTCACCGGGTGATGATACGAGAGACTGAGAAGACTACGATGTCGATGGCATATTTCTTTCATCCACCAGGCCATTTATACGTAGCACCTTATTGTAAGCCATTGAGTGAAACCCTACAGACTCCCATTTATAGAGGAGTGAACGTGAAAGAATATTTCATCATCAAGGCTAAAGCCTCGGGGAAGGGAATTGCTGCCCTAACAATATGATGTTTCATATTGAAAACCTCTTGTTTGCTTCATTTTCAGAAGGGTTTTCAAAAATAAGTTGTGAAACTGTTCATGTGGGGGCAGCTTTTAAATGGTTTAGTTTGATGATCATACACAGCCATGCAATAAATATGGAAACTTGCATGTAATATTCTCGTGTGTTTTAAATTTTTTTAAAATTTTCTGTCAGTTCCATGCATGTTCAAATCCTTTCTCTCTAACATTCACCCAACCATTCAATTCTAACCAATTTATATCATCTCCCTTTTTGAAAATGAAGTTTTTTTGAATTTTTTGAATCTATACATTTTAGTATATTTGTGATACTCGAGTAGATAAGAGGTACATGAATGAACCAACACCATATTCGAATGTGAGCGATCGTGAAGATATGATGACTAAAAAATGTTTAAAAGAATTTAACCTTACTACTTATAGCAACAAGGTGCACCTTTCTTTTCTTTTCGGTAACTCATTCGTAGAACTTCAAGGTTGAGTGTGCTTTTGATAGGGAATCAGCCCAAGGGAAAGCTATAATGCATATAATAAGGAAATCGGCCTAAGGAAAGCCCTGATACGAAATAATAAGGAATCACTTTAAGAGAAGTAATTATACAAGAAATAATGGATATGATAGCATACGAAAAATGTTATCATAGACTTTTTATATCGTTTTTTTGTATGTCGTGACTGTTGACTTTTTTGCCCTTAATCTCAAAATTTTAATTAATTAATTAATTGATGTTGTAACAAACCTACCTTGAATTATTAACAATTCTCAGTATTTTGTACATAGTGTAAAGGTTGGGAATAACAATTTCAACAATTTTTTTGGTTCACTCAAATTAAAACTAAAACGACTAAATTTCAGTCAAAATAAGATACCCCACGTGATCCCTATTTTTTACCACTGGTTCATTGTTTAAACTCATTACTTCTTTCATGTTTATTAGAACACACCACACAACACAACTTCTATAGTTTGTTTATCAAACTTTTTTTAAAAGCCTTCAATGTGCTCTCTAAAAATCTTCCAATTTTATTTGGTTTATCTTATTATTTTGTAGAGAGTTGTTCGTTGTGCGATCAAATTGTAAATCTACTCTTTCAAAGAGTTGTGCTGTGTTTCTACAAAATTTCAGACAATTGTACCGGTTTGATCTTGAGCCGTGGAAATGATTAAGTTTGCTCTTGAACTCGTAAAAAGAGCGGTGTAGCGGTTGAACTTTTATCCGAGGAAAGAGTCAAGAACAGTTTATTCAAATTTCCAAGATGCGCTTAAGGAGTGGAGTAGGTCGAGTTTGACCGAACCACTATAAAACTATATCCAGATCCGAGGAAAGAGTCAAGAACGGTTTATTCAAATTCCTAAAAGGTGCTTGGGGAGTGGGGTAGGTCGAGTTTGACCGAACCACTGTAAAATTAGGGTGTTATATTTTCTAACATTTTCCTATTTAAATTCTAAATTGTTATTAAGTTTTATTGCATGTTATTATTGTTATTAAAAAAATCACGTTTAAATTATTATATTGTTGAAACCCTTCACCCCTTTAGGATTGCCATATCGATCCAACAGTGACAGCCCATAGCGTTTCCTCATAGCTAGATAGCTATAATAGTGTATAAAACTATAGCTTTATATATATATATATAGATATATTTTGTTATAAAAATATTTCATAGAGTTTTATTAAAGCTATAATATGTTAAATATAGCTAAAATATTATGCTATCTTTAACCTATTATAGTTTTTTAACGCTATAATATACAGTCTTTATGTTATTTGATCCTTTTATTTATTTAAATATTATTTCATTAATTATATTTTGATAAAGAATTTATTCCGGTATTCATTTTTAGTTAAATCCACACTTAAATTATTTCCTTTCACATTAAATACGGTAATTTCTACTCAAAATTGAAACTTTCTCATCTATTTACATTACAAAATGAGTATTCAGTCATTTCATAGAATAAAAAAATTGTTCAAGCAATATAAAATAAGGTATGCTCGATTGTCGGGGACCACTGTCATGTCATGCCTTTGTAGTGTAAGTCTTCTATCACCTTCCATATCGATAAATAACCAACGATATTTAATTTTATATTGCATTTTCTTTGTTTAATAAAGAGAAGGTAGCGTATGTATCTGTATGTGCATAGATCATGTTGTGTTTAATAAAGAGAAGGTAGCGTATGTATCTGTATGTGCATAGATACCAGAATCCTCTTGGTATAGACTGAATTGCTCTCGTTGTTGTGTTGAATAGAATGTTCTGTCACGGTCTTCAGTACTCCTATTTCGAAGGGAAAGACCGTCTCTTTGGAAGTCTTCAGTATAATGCTCCCCCGGACGTACTCCTTATGGAGGAACCGGGATACCAAAAGTTGCGATATGAAAAAAGGAAGTTTGCTGGGTCATCCTTTAGAGGACACCATTTCTATACCATGCCAAGACTTAACCCCACCGATCTCATTCTTTAAGAAATTGCTCATAAGAGTCGAACTATAGAAAAATATGAGAAGCTTGACAATAACATCAAACTTTCAAATCTACATAACAAAAGTACCAAACTCTCACGTGCAAAGGAAAACTTTGAGTTAACAATAACAAAAAAAAGAATAACTTTGCATCACTTATGTAAGTCTTTCACTGGTATTACATGGCAAATCATTTGTGTTCTTATCAAACTAATATTAAGCAAAAATTAAAATGATGTATGTCAGCATGATACCTTATGTAGGAGTCTTCACATTCTAGCACTGAGGAGTTTTTCAAGTCTATCTACAAAAAGGTATGATAACAAAACTACAAGTAGAGATACATTTTCTACAAAAAAGATATCATACTCTCCAACAATATCAATGCCCTGAACGCAGGGATGTAACGATGAGCAAGGCAATTGAATTTTCCTGTTCAACACATTGTGAAAGATGAAGTTAATCCTCTGAAGGTAGGTGGGTAATAGGCCTTTCCTACTCCTGATAAGGTATACCTTACTACTTACGAAAGACACTTATCGATAAGTCTAGACACAGATGTACCCTCATACCTTATCAGGAGTAGGAAAGGCCTATTCCAATGACTAACCTTACTCTACGTCACCTGTAATATGAAGACAAACCAGTAGAATAAAGAGAATTTTTATGGTGTATTCTACAAAATATGACTAACACATAATAAAAAAAATATATGGTTTTGGTGGTCTTGTGTCTCGGCTAAATGTTGTTAGGACAATCCCTTTTAAAAAATTAGAAATAATACCACAACAAGACAACTAATAAAAACAGGTTCGATCATGCAACTTAGTCACAATATCACAACACTTCAATGAGAAATAGTGTACTTACACTTACAGTTGTACTATAGGTTAAAGGTTACATTATATGCAAGATTCTTACTTCAACAAATAATATGGCACAGTACATTCCCCCAAGTTGTTGTCCACCTAAATCAACTAAAATAGGTGATGAACAGACCCGCATGATATCATGGCAGACATAAATATCAAAGTTACGCGTCCAATTTAATATAACATAACAGGGAAGTATCCTGATACACATGACACTCATAAATGCATGAGATCCTCATGACTTTTAATCACAACATTTAATGATAAACAATTTGTTCTTCCTTTTATTCATGTCATACAAGTCGAATATGCATAATACTAGTCATAGCTTTCATCATGCATTATCATTAGTATAATATAAATCTACACCATAGCTTCACATGACATGACATAGCATGAAATAATAGGAAATCGTAAAACATACATAACATAATATCATAGGACTGTAGACCGTTCTATGTTTTTGTCGGCCGTAGACAACGACGATGCTACTTATGGCTAGGGATGTAAAGTGACCATGCGCTGACGAAGTTCACGAAAAGGGTTTTCATGTGGGAGTTTTGTCCTCTCTCAAGGATGTTGCACTACTAAGCATGGAAAAGAGTTTGGTGATTGAGGGAGCAGTGAGTTAGATACCTTGCATGATTCACAGCGCTCGTCGGAAATCTCACGTTTGAACGATACTTGATTCAATACATCCAAGACATATCAATTATCAAAAAAACCTAAACAACCTTCCATAATAATCCATTCTTATCCTATTTCTTTCTTATTTGCAATAATATTAATCTCCTCTAGAATTTAAATTACTCTGTTTGTTTCTTACTTTAAAAAAGCAATAATCCTTCCATAAATGGTGAGCTGGATTTACACTTCCTTTTAAGTTTATAAATTGAAGCCGGAAGTAAGCTTAGTATTTCAATAGACCTTGATCTTAATTTATTGGCTTTTTGTGTGCAGCTCTACCTAAATATGACAGACCAAAAGCTTCCTCCCGCAAGCCTTGTGGTTCCTCTAGACTTCGACTCAGTTCAGACTGTTCCTGAATCTCACTTATGGGCTCACACCGATGAATCATCGCAGAAGATCGAATCGGACAAAATAGTCTCGATCCCGGTTGTCGATCTTAACGACGATAATGTGATGGAGCTCATAGGGAAAGCCTGCGAGGAGTGGGGAATGTTTCAGTTGATTAATCATGGTATCCCGAAAACCCTAATAGCCGAAACCGAGGAGGTGGCTCAATGTCTTTTCGCTCTTCCAAAAAGCCAGAAGATGAAGGCATTACAGGTTCCCGGAACCTCCACTGGCTACTGCATAGCCAGATTTTCAAAGTATTATGAGAAACTTATGTGGCATGAAGGATTCACCGTCATAGGTTCTCCAGTTGATGATTTTAAGAAACTCTGGCCATCGGACTACCAACGGTTCTGGTAAATCCAGGTTTATGTTTAACGGTTTATTATTTAAATCCCAACAATTTTTATATGCCCTAATTGGATTCTTACTTTCTTTTTCTTTTTTCTTTTTTCTTTTTTTAATCAAGTGATAAAATGGAAGAATACCAACTGAAAATGAAGGCTTTAGGTGATAAACTAACAAGGTTAATCTTCAAGTTTCTTGGCATCTCCGATGAAGAGATGGTGAAATTGTTGTCTTACATCGACCCGACCACCAGAAAACCGCACATGCTTTTACGCTTGAACTCGTATCCGCCATGCCCTGATCCAAGCAAAGTCATTGGCCTCGCGACCCACACTGACACCTCCCTCCTCACAATGCTTCACCAGGCACGCAAATATGGGCTACAAATCTTCAACGAGAAAGAAGGCTGGATTCCACTGGCTCGGAAGAGCGACACTCTCATTATTAACATCGGCGATTTACTCCAAATTATATCGAACGGGCGGTTTCATAGCATTCCTCACCGGGTGATGATACAAGAGACTGAGGAGACTACAATGTCGATGGCATTTTTCTATTATCCACCAGGTCATTTAAACGTATCACCTTATTGTAAGCCATTGAGTGAAACCCCACAAACTCCCATTTATAAAGCAGTGAACGTGAAAGAATATTTCACCATCAAGGCTAACAACTTGGGTAAGGGAATTGCTGCCCTAACAATATGATGTTTCATATTGAAGCCCTCTTGTTTGCTTCATTTTCAAAAGGGTTTTCAAAATATAAGTTCGTTAAACTGTTCATGTGAGGGCAGCTTTTAAATGGTTTAGTTTGATGTTCATACACAGCCATGCAATAAATATGGAAACTTGTACCTAATATTCTCGTGTGTGTGTGTTTTTTTAAAAAAAAAAATTAATTTTCTGTCAGTTTCATGCATGTTCAAATCCCTTCTCTCTAAAAACCAACCAACCATTCAATTCTAACCCATTTATATCATCTTACTTTTGAAATTTTTGGAATCTATACATTTTTAGTATATTTCTGACACTCGGGTAAATAAGAGGTACATAAATGAACAAGACCATATTCGAATGTGAGCCATCTTAAAGACATGATGACTAAGAAATGCTTAAAAGAATTTAAACTTACTACTTATAGCAACAAGATACACCTTTCTTTTCGGTGACTCTATCATAGAACTTCAAGGTTGAGTGTGCTTTTGATAAAGAATCAGCCCAAGGGAAAGCTCTAATGCCAAATGATAAGGAAATCGGCCTAAGAGAAAGCTTTGATATCACATGATAAGGAATCCCTACAAGTGAAGTAAGATTCATATTACCTTATTAATTGAATATTTCAAGGCAAGAACACTTGTTTGAGATTCAAATCACTCCACACAAGATTGATCATGTCAAGCTTGAATGATTCTACATGTAACCTGAACTACATAGAATTGCAAAGAAACTTAGTCATTGGCTAATAGAAAACACAAATGCTTCTTTTACTATGTTTTTCCAAGTCTATCTTACAAAATTAACATATGGCTTTATATAGCCTCAAGAGTTTAACATTCATACTTTATGACTATAATTAGCTACTATGTAAATGTAACTTTAAAGTAAATAAAAAGTCTTAAAATACATTAATCAAATAACCCTAAATTACTCTAAATTGTAATCTACCAAAAATTTATAACAATTAAGTTTCATCATTTTTCAATGTCGCATGAATTGAAATGTACATTGAAATATGTTGTATGATTGATGTCTCTTGGTTATATCAGCTTTACTTGAAGCAATTCTATGTTTGGTGACCTTTTGAAAAATTTTCTAAGATGTATGTGAGTGAGGACAAAATATGCTGAAAAAATTTATCTTGTGTGGATAGTCTTCACTCTCAAAAAGGGAAATGTATGTCGTATCTAAATTCTAAATCCTGATCCGAATCCTAGCATGGGTCATAACAAATGTTATTAAAGTGATACCTCTATCACTAAAATGTGGTTCGGAGATAAACTAAGGCAGAAGTTGATGGACATGAGACACTAGGATGCATGTAACAATCCATTAGTCCACTAACTTAGTTTGTAACCAATTTTATAACAATTTAGTATTTATATTTTAAAATTTAGAACAACAAAATCCTTATAACCAATTTTATAACACGTGAGTATTTATATTTTAAAATTTAGAACAACAAAGTCTTTATAACCAATTTTATAACACGTGAGTATTTATATTTTAAAAGTTAGAACAACAAAGTCCTTATAGCCAATTTTATAACACGTGAGTATTTATATTTTAAAATTTATAACAATTAAGTCTTTATCTATGTATGTTTGAAATAAAATGAGATCTCTTACATGTAGATGAATAAATTGATTATAAATTAAATGCGTTCTTAAACTCTAAAGACAATAATCACATATAAATGGTCCATAATTTTTTTTTAAAAACATAGGGATTAAATGGTTAATGCATAAATGGTTAATTTGCCTTTGCCATAAAAACTCTAAATCTATTTAGAGACTAATTTATTAATTTTACAAAGACAAACAAAGTGATGAGGTTAATTCAAGCTGTGTCCCTAAATTACGAACATTATTTTTTTAATTATAAAATAGACCCACAAAGCTTATTTTAATACTAAAAATAAACCTTCCCAAAAAAAACATGTTTATTACAAAATATGAAATTATATTTAAAATAATAATAACAATAATAATCCTGGCTGTTTCATGAGACCTTTAATTGATCAAATACAAACAAAAATGATTCTTGAAATCTCTTCACAATCATCCTTTATGCATTCCATTTATGTAATTAAATATTAATTTTTCTATAATTACAAAGTCTAGAGAGCAAAATATGAAAAAATGATTAAATTTTTGTAACATTATCTAATTCAATTAGTTTAAGTTATTATTTGTTAATTTCAATTAAATATGGTTAGTAATCTAGTGAATTAATTCATTAGTAATTACTCATAATTATACATACATAACATACTAATTTTACACCTAATATTAACCGATATTATAAGTTACTAATATCTAAGATGAAAGAGTTCAAAAGCATTAACTGACCTTTGTAGGTCACAAGATGAACACAATAAGCACGGTCGTAATCTGATTCTGAGGTTTTCTTCTAATGAGAATTAACAGCAGAAGCCTCAAATTGGTCCGTTCCCAAAGGGATCTTCGATTACTCCGCAATATTTTTTTAAAAAAACACATGCATCGATATGTGTTTGTTCCTATCCGAAAGGCTCTATCCCGTTAGATTTTCATACAATTGCTCTATCCCTTGAAAAGTTGGGTAATTACATATCAGAAATCATTAAGGAGGGCTAATATTTTCACATACCGGCTTTGAAGTTGGAACGGGGCAGGGCAACACGTTTTAAGTTGATCAACACTATTTTGAAGTCCTCTAATGAACTCTGCACAAAAGCTCGCTCTAACAAAGACCAAATTGAATGAAGGCTTACACAACACAAGCAATGGTATTGGTTAAAATCTGTTCACGTTGAATTTTGGGTCCGAAGTTTCTCGTTCTTTGCACATTCCTCCTGGAAAATAAAGAAAATAAGCAAGGACAGGAGTGGTTTAAGAGGGATTATACTACTATGGGAACCTTCATGTATCAAAACCGAACAGCCTGGTCTAAATGTTTCTGCTCATTCAATGAACTGCCCCGCTGGGTGAAGGGTAATTTTTAATAATTTATCAAATGAAACCACCTTTAAGAACGTGGTTACCACAACATCAGAGGGTGAGAGATTTGAACCTCTAATCTTTTAGTCATGGATAAATGTCTTAACCAGTTGAGATATGAGATATGTTTAGTTGGCACAAAAAGTATAATATCAATCACAAATCACAACGCTATAGTGCTCACCTGGAAAGCTTTTAAGAGTGCATAGCAACGTCTTTGCTCTGCAGTTGCTGCAGCATATTTCTCTTTCAAGGCATTGCAGACCTGCTGCTCTTCTTGATGAGAAAGAAGCACCTTATCTAGTTTCTGCATATATCAATATGGATTAAACTGAGATAAATAATAATACTAATAAAAGACTACAACTCAAGAAGGTCCAATAGTATAAGAAAGGGAAAATTATTTATTCCTCTATACTTAGCTCAGTTATCAATTTTAAACTGAAAATTTTAATTTCATAAAATTGAAACTTGAGCTTAAATAAAATTTAAATTTTAGTTTGGAAATTTTTTGCTAGGTTTGATCTTTGTGGCTCTTTTATATTGGTTAGTTCAATGACAATATCTAATTTAGAAGTTATTACTTTCACCAATTATAAATCTTCATTAGAGTTGGTTCACTCTTGTATGTCATAAGCTCAACAGTGGAAACAAAAAGTACCTGTTGAATGCCTT